CACACACACACACACACACACACACACACACACACACACCTTTAATCAGCTGCCTCATATCCTGGGAGTGCCCGTCACTGGGACATACCACCATTTACAAACTTTATGGAAACCACCCACAGACCTAACACTGTTATTTCAGCATTTCTGTGGGCACATTTTCCATTATGTGTAAAATAAGCATGCACTAAAACACAAGAATCACCCCGCCCGTGCGCACACACATACACCAGGCTGAGAAGAGATGAGAGGAACCAGCATGCCACCAGTCAGCTCCACAGTAAACTGCTGAGTGGTTTCCAACAGTAAAACCCTGAATGAGGGTAAAAATGCTCCTCTTATAGGCTGCCTACAGTGACTGCTTGTGTCACTTACACAAATGAGAGAAGCAGAGTGCAGAGCAGAAAACCGTATCTCAGTTATCTCCAAAAGGCCATTACAATGTTCTGCGAGCATTTTTGAATGTTTGTTGTTGTTTTATTTAGGTTAGGGAACGATGTACTCAAATTACTTGATGAATTCAAAAGATAACATTTCAATGGCTGTGTTTTCAGAGGGAATCTAAAAATATCAAGCAATGGTGCAAGACCTATAGCATCAGCAGTCCCACATGGTATCTTACCAGAAATACACGCAACATTATGCAGAAATAAAGAAGGAAAACAGGAAAATAAGCGCACCATAAGTCTACCTTAATAAGTCAAAGCTGAATCCCATAAAGAGAAGAATTTGTCTCTTAACCCCTTATGTGACTATTTTATGCTCGCTTTGCGTCAGGTCACTCAACCACATGGACACTTTAGCAGGATGTGTTGATGTCCTGTGTAATAATATTCTTCTACGCGCAAGCAGTGTCGTAAAAAGTGCTTTTTCGTATTGTATGCAACTGTTTCTATCTGTGATAGCAGTTATGGCTGCTGTTGCTGCTGCATTGGGTTGGAAATCAGTATTAAGTGCCTCCATTTTAAAGATCACCGACCATTAAGCTGCAAGAGCAGAGCATGACCAAAACATATGGGTTAAATTGGTGGGGGTATTACGACATCCGTCGCAACTTGCGTCTGTTTCAGGGTGAATTTGAGTTAGTCTTGCTTTGGACCACTTGAGCTTGATATTGGTCTTTAATTGTATTTTAATTGTCATTCCCTCACACGGTTCCAGATGTCCTCATCCATGTCCTTTTCAAGCTCACCCTCCTGGTCAGCCCTAATCTTTGCAAGGTTCATGTTTTTGAGGGAAGCTTTACAGTCATGTGTTCTCGCACTTAGCCTTTTTTTAGGGATCTCTAACATATCATCTAAGCCTGAAACTGCAGCGTTGCGGTCACCGTTGGTAATGAGAAGAAGATTTAAAAACTCACTCGACTTCAACGACAAATGCACAGCAGAAAGTCAGTCTGTAGCGCCATAGACAGAGTTTGGATCACTATGACTCAAAGTGGAATGAAGGCCTGCATGGCATCTAAAAAAAACCTGAGTCAGCTCTTCTCTTACTGCAGAGAGGCAAATATGGGTACGGTTAACACGTGGCTTTTAGCAGACAAGACTTAAAATGCATCAGGTCAAGACCAAACATGCCGCTCAGAGACTCGCCATCCGTGTGTCAATCAATGCTAAACAAGCGTAAAGGCCGTCTGTGAGCACTTCCTGGATTCAGTGGACATAAGATCTGAGCAAAAAGAATGCCTCATTACAGAAGTGCACCGTGTCCTCGGGTCCTGGGATGCCTCCATGGTATGTTAGTCAAAACAAAAGAGGGTTGTCTAGCAAGCAGCAGGGGGACTTTGCCTATTTGGTCTACACTAAACAAAAGAAGTGGATCAGAGTGTGTTTTCAGGCTGAAACAAATGATTATTTTTCTTAATGAATCCATTAATTGTTTGTCTATAAAATGTCAGAAAACAGCGGAAAAAATTGCAGATCATGTTTTACGACAGCACAAAGGGGTATCTTCACATTGCTTGTTCTGAAAAAAAAAATAAATAAATAAATAAATTTCTATATATATATATATATATATATATATATATATATATATATATATAATGAGTTAACCATTTAAAATCCTCAGTGTTGGGCATTTTGCTTGGAAAGCGATTTATTGATCACTAAGACAGTTATAGCAGATGACGCATTTCCTGTCAATCCACTAATCATTTAGTTAAGAATGCATTATAGAGGAACTATCTGCACCCGTGTTTCATCAGTCCAAGCTTGCTATCCAAGGAGACATCTCCAACAAGCAAGCATCAGTCTCAAAAACAAAGTGTTACTGTCCGCTCCTCTACGAGCACCACTTACACCAACCATAAGACACACAGAGAGGGCTTTTGTTCATGGTAGCGAGGTACTTTGACTGAGAGGACAAAAACATGGGGGGGGGGGGGGGAGAATGCTATGCTCCGCTACAGTACACACTGCATTTGCAACAGCACCTGCCTGCATACTCCTTTCAGACAGACCTTAGCGCCTCAAAACAAAAACCAGAAAAAAGAAAAAAAAACCCCGCAAAAAGCAATCTTGCCCTTAATTCCCTTAAGCCATATAATTCATTGAGACATAGGGAGGGGGGACCACCACAATAATGGCTTTTCATATCCTTGAGCTCTGGTCCCTTCAGGCAGGGAGAACCATACCCCATCCTCACTGAACACTACAGAAAGAGAAGATCTTGTAATTCCTCAGTCATGAACGACCATGAACTATACGCTTACACGCACACAGAAAATAGAAAACAAAATATAAGCCTCCGGGCCACTAGTCTCTGACGGGAGAAAGTGTTTACAGCAGCCAAGCAACTGGCTCTCACAGCTAGTATTGTACTACTGGTGGTAAAAAAAGAAGAATTTACAACCCAGGCATAAATCATACAGCCGTTTGCTTTACTTGTTCTTTTTATACCCAGGTAACATAAAGAAAGGTGTGGGCATAAGGGGATGGATCCAAGTATCACCACATCAGGACACTTTCCACATCTTGAGTCATGCAGGCCTTGACTCAGTCTTTACCTTCCCTCAATGTTTCCATGAGAAAAGCTGGATGAATGCTCTATTCAGCTCTGAACTGTGGAACTCAGCCTTTCTTTAAACGTCATCCAAGTGTGTTTGGGCACTAACCATGTAGGGTGTTGTGCCACACCATTAAAAAAAACATGCTTAAAATAGTTATAGTGCGAGCGAACCTGCCTGCTGTGATTTCCTGTCGTGACAGAGCTTACGTTATTGTCTTCAAGTTTAAGGGTGCACGAGTGGTAGTAGAGCAGGCTGCGTGTCCGACCGATGCACCCGCCGCCGGCAGGGCGCTGCTCTCGTATAACCTGCAGCTATTTACAACCCGAGTGAGCAGGCAGAATACATCATCACTAATTTTATACCAGCAAACTACGTGGCTTATATGAAAACCTGGAGTGGGTGCCAATCTGAAGGAGCCTTTTCTCCCTCTTTAGACCCGCTGGAACTAAAAGTAAGAAACCAACCAGGTATCTGAGCGATGCAGGGTTTACACGCTCAACACAAGATGGAAATTCAGTTTTTTTTAAATAAACTATGTGATTAAAATCTTCAAGATTTTTTTCCTGCAAGTATGTATGCAAAAGAGCAAAGCTGCAATTAATGTATGCTGGACAGCAGCACACATTATTTTCATATTACTCATGGCTGCACTGCTTCTACCTCCATTTGGCGAAGAAGTTATTCGTCTTTAACATTATGCCAAAAAGAAATACAACACTGAACAGTGCACATGTGGTACAGAGGGTTAGGTTATGTAAATACAAACATTTAAAAGGTGCGCACACACACACACACACACACACACACGCTAAACAGGTGGAATGAAGAGCCTTAGGGGGTTCCCTACAATCTGAACAATAATTAACATTTTGAAGGAAAACCCCAGAGTGAAATTACACAGTTTGACACAACACAACTTCATAAACTAAGGCCTAACATTAGATCAACAGTATTAGACTGGTGGGTATATGAGAGTTCTGCGGCACAGTAATTATCTAGTATTTGGTTTTCACACAATTCATTTGTTTTGGAAAGCATTTCAGAAGGGAGGCCAAACAGTTTCAAGAAGTCAACTGGAGGGCAATGCAACAGCTGATCAGAAACACAGACAGTAAACGTCGCCAAATGTACAGTCTGAGTCAATCCACCTCGGATAACTCCATCATTTATGTCCCAAAGTAGGTTTATCTCAGTCAGCACCACCTCAAGGCCACAATAAATCAGATCAGATTAGTCTGTGAAGAGGTGGCCTCAGGCTGTGAGCGTTACTAATGAGCAATGCTCATAAACCAATAGACTGACTCTCTCACGTCAGAAACCTTTAACGTTGTGATGGGTTCATATTTTGGTGTAAATGAAACGTTACCTCCAGATGAAACTACTATCCCTGTAAAGTTAGGCTGAGACGTTACAGTGAACACCAGTAAACCTGGTTCACGTTGGCTAAATTAGGTGAAGATACAACAACATTCAGCGTTACGCGCCAACGGTTTTTATGCAACAAGTGATGCTAAAATGTAAAATTAACACAACAGTTAACCAGCGTTAACGGTGAGCCAGATAACTTGTCCCAGGACCCTGGTAGTACAGGAGTTTGTTCCGACTAGCTAAGTTAAACGTTAGCCACTAAACCGAAGTTAATGTAAATAATGAATCACAGCCAAAGACTCACCGAAAGTCTGCTCGAAGAGATGTGAGATTCCCGTGAGTTTGTTGATTGTTTACAGTACTTCCACGCTAACGTAACTTGTTTTCTGAACTTCTCCTTGGCGACCAGTACTTTCCACGTCCGTCCACATTGCTACGCCATGGTGTACCGAGGTGACGGGATTGTTGGAGATGGAAGTTGGAAAACTTGGGACGTCGTGGCAGGAACATCCCGCCCCGCTGCAGCGTGGATTGGCTCTGGAGCAGGAATGTAACGCATGATGGGAGTTATGGTGCCTTCTCAGTTGCATGGGGAAAATGGGAAATTAGAGACTCTAGCGGTACACAACCGCTCACTGTTGACATCAGCAATGCACAGGGCGCGAAGATGATCGAAAAAGCGATTCGTCTTTATTTGTCCGTTTATCACAGGGAGACAATTATAATATATACCAGGAACAATCACAATCAACAGTCACTTAACGGCTCTAAACCTGTTGAGCTCAATAATTAGGGAAACTTTCCATGTTTTTGCTGAAACCTGAAAGCGGCATATTCCTCAAAGTGTGGGAGGAGCCTGTTGTGTCTCCGCTTTAAAAGAAGCACCGGCGACATCAAGTGGTCTTTAGTGTCAGAGAGGGAATAATATCCTTTATCCTGTACTGTGCAAAAACAGTTCAATACAAGTAGAAGTTACCAATTAAAAGTTGTATTTGAATAAAAGTACAGAAGCATTAACAGCAACATGTATTTAATATGCAGAATGTTATGTTACATAGTATATTACTGGATTATTGTTTCTGATGCATTCATCTAAATTTTATCAAGATAGAGCTAGTTTTAAGAACGTACATTTTATGAACATCGTATCATATTCTTTTTATCTGGTGGTATGTTAGTAAATTGTTAGTCTGCAAAGTAATTAGTAACTATAGCTATCTGGTAAATGTGTTGGAGTAAAAAGCACAATATTTCCATCTGAAATGATAATTACTGCAGACATGCGTTGAGTGTGTGTTGAGTCTATGCAGGGCAGATGTTAAAGTGCAGTCAAGGCAAACTGAGAGGCGCAGTAAACATTACATGTTTACTTAGAATTGATTTTAGGGTCTTTGTGAAAGTAATCTGGCCACAAGTGCAGAATGGATATGTAATAATATGAAATGAGAAACACAAGTACAATTTCATTGTCACGTGATGTTCATGACTTACTCGATAAGAGATTATGGTGAGACACAGAAATTATGAAAACTACGATCAAATAATGCAGCAAATAAAACAACAACAAAATAACAAAACAAAACATTGATCCAAACTACAGTAAAAAAATAATATAAAATAAAACAAGGCAGAAATGAATGGTTTTTATATTGTGATAACTTAACAAGACAACATCTAAAATGTCTAGTGCTCCTCAACTCCATCTCTAAGTTATTGTGATGTAATCTGTCAGAGGGAACAGAAGATGTGATGCTGTAACGATTCCTCGAAATCCAAACATTGACTGGGTAATGCCTCTGCTTCCAGCGAATAGAATAACCCATTCCGGGTCACTCATGGGCCCCCAAAGTGGTGTCACTCCTCAGGGGCCTCTCCACCTTCACTGTGCTGGGGTCACATTCCAGCATCTCCCTGATCCAATCATCATCCAGCGCTCCCTCTATGAACTCCTCCAGACTGATGACGGCTACAGACATAACAAGGACAGACAGTGATTACAGACAAAGAGCAGAGGACAGACTATCAGTATCATTTGGTTCACTTCCCTACTTAATATTAATATAAGTGAGCAAGAACTTAATGTTTTTAATGTTGGTGCCTACCAAAGTATACATAATTATTATTATATACGTGTGTATGATGAATATTAGTTGTCTTTAACATTTTTCTAAATGTAAGCAGTATATGGAGGCATATTTACACCATTTACAACCTAAACTGTGTCCTCTACAGGAGAGAAAAAAGCACCATTCTGAGGCCCTCACTGCGCTTTAGCATACATACTAAATGTTTTGAACTCAATAACTTTTAGGTTCAGGATTCATCTCATATATATCTTCAGTAGATTCAGCATTATTTAACATTACACATGATGTGTTTTATCCTCAATTAGATGCATTATCTCAGCTTTAGGTATGTGCTTGCTTTATATTTTTAACTCTGTCATTGAATAACTATCTTGGAGTCTTAGACTAGTCCCAACTAGTAAAAGTTTATTTTTAGGCTTGCATCACAGAATTGATATAAAGTAAATTTGGAGTTTCAGAGTTTCTATTGATGGGGTATTTTTAAGGTATATTTAACATAGCCATTATCTTTATGAGTTTAGCTTATTGCGAGAAAAAAACATACAAATTGAATTTGGTTCCATGCTAAAATAACACATGATTTCAAGCAGAAAGGGAAAATTATTTCTTCACCATTATTGTCTTTATCTAACCGCACAAATATCCTGTTGGTACACTCCTCAGCTGTAAGAGGGTTGGGTTTGGTTAAAGCAGCTGTCACGCTCATCTTATACACAGCCTGTGAACAAAAGGAAACACACACCAGTGGGACAGAAAGATGCATCTGTGGTACCATCTCGTGATCAGTAAGAGTAGTAGTGTATGCACCTGCATGATGTCCAGCATTTCTTCCCTTGTAATGGCTCCGTCTCTGTCTTTGTCATAGAGCTTGAATGACCACCGCAGCTTCTCTACAGCCGAGCCCTCGATCAGCATGCTGATGGCCACGACATACTCCCTGAAATCAACCACCCCGTCCTGCAGAGAAGCGCCCCCATTAACATCTTTGTTTGCTATTCATTCTTCCTGATTGTTGTCACGTTATGTCGCATTACTACGATACAGCATTTATTATTGTCCTGTTCCAGCTGTAGTATTCCCTCCAGACTCACATGATATACAGTGTAAAGTCATGCAGTGTAGTTCGCTCACCCCGTTATTGTCCAATGTGCGGAATATCTGTTCTGCATACTCAGCTGACTCCCTGCCCACTGTTCCATTGCAGAAATGCCTTTGGAACTCGTGAAGAGTGATCAGCCCACTTGGACATTCATTAATAAACTTTCTAAAACAAAAAGACAAACAACACATTTGTTTCATAAAGAGAGAAGAACAATGTCAGTTGCTGTAATACACAAAAAAGCATGGGGCAGTTTGGATAAAAGGTCAGATCTGTAGAAACATGTCCTTTGATATTGAGAGAATTAAGGTCAACCTCTGTGGAGATTACACGTCTTTGAAAGCTTGCTTACACCCTGGGACTAGAGTGCGAAGATAATTTGGCCAAATGATTTTGAACCACTTCACTACAACATGGCAAAGTGAAGAAAATCAGCAGTGTGTAGTCACGGATATAAAGTAGGGCTAGAGACACTATTCCTCAACTGAGTAGAGAAACAAAAAAAGAAAGAACGAAAGAAACAAAAGGCAAAGGATGTGCTTTGTAGATTTGTCTGGAAAATACTGTATTCTACACAACAAAAGGAGACCTAGTAGTATGCTTATTGAATGTTGCTTCAAAAATCTGCAGTTAAAGCTGCATCTGTAGTTGTAGCTACGCATGTTACAACGTTTCACCGCTCAGAGGGGAGCCACGTCTCCCCTCTCTCCAAACTTTCATTTACTTCAACAGGCATCTTCTACCTGAATACACACTTCATTAACAGCGAGGCAATTCTAAAAGCCAAATGAACATCTTACCTGGACCACTCGTACAGCTCAGTGACATAAGACCCCCCTCTCCTACCAGGCCGAGTAGCAGCTTGGCCCATTCTGTAAAGGAGCAACAGCTTTGTATTCACCACTGACTTTATATACATAACAAATCCCAGCTTATGCCATGCTTTCTTAATTGCACCAACCAATGCCGTACCACATTTGCTAAATTACTCCAAGCTAATCTCCTCAGAGGGGGGAACAGAAAGCAAGGCTGTAAGTGGGTTCAGTATAAGGCAAATGTGATTACTCTTAAAGCAGACTGCTGCTTCTCAATTGGCCTCATGTTTTGGATTCAGTGAGGCTGCTCACAAAGTGTGCCGTCTTTCTGTTCAATTTCAAATATATGTATCTGAAAATATGCCCCAAGTTCCTGTTGATGGTTTGTTAAACTAATATTTATTAATAACATGACAAGAAAGTCCAGACATGTTGATAGCACAGCAGCAATAGACATATACAGTAAGTGCTTCCTCTGGGGCCCAAAAATCAAACCAGAATAAATTTAGAGTGACAGGAAGTGGTGCAATGGAGGCAGTAACAAGCTGCCAACAGCCCAAAATAGGATTAATGCCCTTCCTCCTGTGCAGCGATAGTTGCCTATGTCATCAGTCTTTCAACTTTACATTTCTATTGATGCAAATAATAAATTGTACAAAAATGGTCATGCAACTAGTAACAAAGCCGGGCATCAAATCAAAACATAATGTTCCCTTTCTTAAAAACTCTGTTTTTTTCAAACAGAGAGAGAAGGGAACAATATGTGACCTCTTAGCAAGGTTTATTATCTCTGTCATCACCAATTAAGCTGAAGTGGAAGCAATGTTTTAGATTTCAGGGGGAAATTACAACCAATACAGCAAAATGATTAAACCAGAGGAACAGGGACCAAAATAACAATACGAAATGAACTTGTTGCCTTTAAAAAGACCAGGCTGTGTCTATGGCACAACTCCGTAGCTCTGCTTGTTTGGTTAGGTAGTGAGAGAGTGCTGACGCCAACGTGTACAATACAATTCCTGTTTTAGCCGTCAACAGGCTTCCGCTTCATTCACGATGAGCACAGTATGCGTCAAGTCAATCCAATGATACATTTTAGCCCTCCTTTCAGTCTGCGGAGGTTGCCAGGTGCGAGGCGGTCTCCATAAGCAACACAGGTTCATCGAGTGTCCGAGCAGACATGTCCAAAGGCACTTCAGACACAGGCAGGAGGGTCCTTGTGAGCTCAGCTGGTCCATCCACTGGCTCATTACTCAAGCATTAGATAAAGAAAAGTTTTCTTTAATTCACAACAATGTCTTCAAGAGTTCTTGTTGGAAAAGTCTAAAGAGTCCTCATGAGGTGACTATAAATCGTGTCCCCGAGACACCAATATGAATGATGGCATGAAAGCTACACAGTTCCATGTATTGTATATTTGGGTAGCAATACAACAGATATTTTTGACTGACTGGTTTAGGTATGTGGTTGAAACACTTTTTACAAAATCTCAAAATGAAGCTTACATGTTTTTTTCAGTACACTCCCACTGAGACTCCAGGAATCTACAACACTCAAAATCAGTCAGGTAAAAGAAATGTGATAAATGTAACAAACAGTCAAACGGGTATCAAATAAGCCCATAATCAAATAGTTTTAAACAAACCAATACAACAATTTTCTTCAACTGAAATTATGTATATAATGTTAGTATTATTTGTCATCTGCAAGGCTGATGTGACAGTTTGACATACTTGGGTAATTCTTCATTTGTACCTTATATTCACCCACAAGGCCATCTGGCTACCACATGACTCTCAACAATGGGTCACTAACATTAATCATGACATGACTGTCAATGTTTTGTTAGTAAAAAAAAAAAAAAAAAAAAAAAAGGATGTACAATTGTAAAAATGAGCAAACAAAAGAATTCTGCATGAGGTAAATTGCAAAAGGGATCCACACAACTCAGTGAATCACCAAATTTGATATATTTCAAGTCAGCAGTATAATCTTCTGCCTTCTGGAGTTTTAGAGTCATGCATGATATGGGAGGGACAATTGCATGGAGTTAGAAAGCAACTAAAAAGGACCATGTCTTTTTATAAATGGTCAGTACATAATATAAAGGAAAATAAACAGCTAAAGTTATGGCTTACCTGCAAGATTATAAAGCTGACAATAAGTGTAAGAACACAGATGCACAGGTGAACAAGTACAGACTCTTTAACAATATATACTTTGAGGTAAGTATGGAAAACTTTAACTGGAGGACAACATACTGTTACAGTTACTCCGAACTGTGTCATTGTACGTTTAAACGGGGCGGCTCCGTTTCCATCACTCCCTGAGTTAACACTTCTACCATCGGACTCAGATCAACCTCAAACATGTTTCGATAAAATGTCTAAAATGTGAAAGGGGGTTTGATGCCAAACCTCCATTTTAGCACCTCTAAGGTTTCACTTTACATGAAGTATTACTGTAGTGCTCAGAAAGCCCTATTGATTCATGAATGGTCAACCATCAACACTGGCTGCTCTCTGACAAATGTATGTAGGTGGATCATCTCTGCCGATAAATATTTAATGTTCAGAGCTAGGACAAATCCAATCAAGGGCAGCCAACATTGAGGGATTAATATCTATAATATCTATACAAGGGTACATACTAAAATATTATTTTCACACAAACTATCCCTTTAGGACAGATATAGTTTGAAGACATGGTGTTTGCAACCAAATCCACACATATATAGTTTTTTTTCAAGTCAGTGTACAAGGTAAGAGGTTGCTGGATTGTTTTCATGGAGAATGTTCAGATACTGACAAGAGAAAATCTCTGAGTGGCACACCGTTAGGCGACTCAAAGTTAGAGGTTATGGAAGTGTGGTCTGCCGTGGTACACACTGGCTGCCAACGGCTTGGATCCTGAGGGGTAACAGAGATGGGCCAGGTCAAATCAAAATACAACCTTTTAAAAAAACATGAAATCAATTCAGTGCAATTGTTTGGTGTTTTTTTTTTTTTTTTTTTTTTTGCATCATCACTCCTAACCCCTTCAATTGTAGGTGGAGGAGAGAGTCCCGTCATGCCACTGTCATTTGTGTTCATGGGTTCTTCAACCTTATGAGGCCTCCTCAGTTAAACAGAGGATGCCAGTAGATGTGACGAGAGCAGTGAACAACAGCTTTTCAGGGCAGGCAAACCGCTGTAAGGCTTTAGAGGCACATCCTCCTTCCGACAACAAGGTGTCCCTTGTTGTTGTCGATCCCGCTCCCTGTTAGAGCAGCCACACGAAGACTACACAGCTTAGGTGGAAAAAGGTTATAAATGAAAAAAGCCCATTGACAAAAAGGAATGCTGTGTTACAGAAAAGCATAGAAGCATTTCCCATCACAAAAATGATGTCCGGGTGTTTTACGCGGTGCTACAGCATCACACTGTAAGAGCAGATTCTATAAAGACCAATGCATCTCTTCGAAGTCCACAGCCTCGCCCACGTTTGTGTCCTTCTCCAGGAGGCTCATGAACACTGCCATGGCTGCGTCATCATTGCTCAGGCTACTAAGCCCTGGTCCAACCACGCCGTCCAAATCCTGCTGGGAGTTCTCTTCTGAGGTAAGATAGGGTGAAAGAAAGGAAGAAAATGAATGGATTTATAAGAGGAGATAACTAAAATGTATAAATAAGGTCATGAACCGGAGCAGTGAGAGTACCCATGAGTGATTCTGCCCCTGAGAATGCAGCTCCCTGGGGCTCATCCTCTGAGCTGGACTTTCCTGGAATCTCTATATCTATTGCCTCTCCACTTGGCACCTTATGACCAAAAGAAGAGCAAATTTTAGCCCTAGCAGGAACATGGCAGAAGTGATGTCATGATGTCAAAAAAGAGGAAAAACTCAATTCTGTGCCGGCCCAATTATGCCTTCCAACCTTTGTAGGAAATTCACCATAATTCCCCAGTACATGCAGCGGTAATTGTATTAGTTTATGGTTTTTCTAAGGAAATCTTACTGTGAGATGTTTAAACACCAAGAGAGATGCACCAAATACAGATATGCTTGTACATGAAATTACATTGTTGCTGATTTGATTGTGAGTTTGAGGACACTTATCGCGTGGTAGACTGAACGGGCTGACGCTACCACTGGAAGGTGACGAGTTCATCCTAAAGAAACACGGACACAAATCCACTTAAAAACTGCAGTAGTAACATCGTCAACAACTTAGAAGCAGAGCAATTGTGGCAAAAAAAAAAAAAGACTTACTGAACTACTCTCTTTGCAATTGTCAGATTTACTTATCTCTATCGCTGTAAGAAAATGTAAAGAGGACTTGCTCTCTTGCGAGGCCACACCTGTTGTAATCCAGCAGCTCATTGGCAATCTGGGTCCCAATGCTCCCAGCATAAATCATAGCTCCAGGTGTGGTGGAGATGCCTGGTATAACTGGAAGGGACTTCTGGCCTACTTCTAGCAGAAAAGACAGTTAAGAGTAAAGTGAGCAGACTTGTGCTTTACAGTGTGCAATGGCTTCACAATCTGTATTTTCAACTATCACAGGGCATAAGATCTTTCTTAATTTTAACTGACCGTCAGAAGTCTTGTAATCGCTCGACTGTTCAGACTCGTTTCCTGAACGATCAGTTCGACTGTGATCGCACCTTGTCGTGGGACGAAAACACAAGTGAAGTGCCGATTAATGTACAATGTATCTATCTTGGGAACAAAGATATCTCGGTAATGCACAAAGGGACTGAAGCGTATACTCACGATTTAACCGTGTTAGTTGAAACTATGTATTCTACTTCTTTGGTCCAGGGATTTACAAAACTAAACCACTGACTTTGCAGAGTGACGAAAGAGCCATTTTTTGTTTTGAACTTATAGCAGTTTGTCTCTATTTTGTCTTTACTCCGCAGCACTGTTGTGAAAGAAAACAATGAGAGGGCGAGTTAGAGGACTAAACAGAAAGTGAAGCATCAGTATGATCCGTTTAAGGCAGAGAACACCAAAAGGACCAGCGGACAGAAATATGGGGAACCCGTCACAATTTAGCAGCATACTGACCTACTGGAGTAAATGCAGAATTCAATAGGTGATTTGCATCTTCATCAACACATCAGCTTAATTGTAAATGAACATTTGACCTAAATAGACCTAGATAATTGAAGAGTGTAGGTATCATCTTGGCAGACATTTAAAAATAATAATAAAGGATCCGAGACAATTACAAAGAAGATAAACGGTATGAGGTCAATGAAGTGTTATTTGCCTTTTCGATGCTTGTCAGCCAAATGCGGTAAGTCGTCTTGATGGAAGTACTCATAGCATGATGTCCCAAGCAATTCTTGGGGAAGATAACCAAGAATGGTTGTGGCTCTGCGGAAGAAAAAAAATAAAATGTAAGTGTTAAAAGAGCATACAAGCGTTTCATGCTAGTATGAATTGCTTTTAAACTGTATTATCTAAAATACTCAAATACACTCAAATTATTTTCGTATTGACATCAGTATCAAAGAAATTTAGAAATGTAAATGGAAGATATTTAAAATGCCTCAATGATTGTGCATGTTGTCAAAGCCATGCACCGAGACATTACAACCCTCTACAACCCCCTCATTGAAATGAAACTCTACCTTTGATCGACAAAGGTGAATTTGCCATCCATAGCATAGCGTGTGAAGAACTCCGTGGGTTTAACGCAGACTTCTCCATTAATCTGGGGAGATGAGTGGGAGTGCACGCGTCCCATCGCCACCAGGCAGCTGAAGTGGGAGCTATCCTGCTTGTCTGCCTCGCCCTCCCCCTCTGCTCCAACCTGACTGGTAGGCCAGCTGCGCATGTAGCCTGTGCAGTGGACCGTGCAGTACTTCTGCGACTCTGTAAGCACAAATCACAACACAGTATATATATATATATATATATATATATATATATATCCCAGTTATAAATATAACTGGGACATTTCGAGCAACAATAATGTCAAAAGAAAAAGTTGTTTTTTTCCTACAGATTTTTTTCAATGCCGTTGTTTTTTTGACTTATTCTATTAAATGGAATAATCATACTCTAGATTTTGGAACTACAGTTCCCATAATGCTGTGGAAGACGTTAACAGGAAATATAATGTTGCCCTGGATTGAGGAAGACACTGTATTTGTTCACATTTTGGCAAATTGGCCTCATTAAAAGTATCCTGAATGAGCTATTAGCAGCTCATCTTTGTAATCAGGGAACTACTTTGATACTGAAGATCACTTCAAAACATGATGATTCTCAGGTAAGTTCAGGAGCCATAGAGCATATTTTTCTGTTTTCTATGCGGATTTCCTGGACGTTTATTCACAATGGACATCACACAGTGTATGAAGATTCGATCCAAGTGACTAATGACTGAGGAGTTGTCAGATTTTTGACTCAAATTGTGCAATTCACTTTGGAAAGTGAAGTCAATTATCTTAGCCTCACATCTCTCCCTCTGCTCCCTCCTCTAAACCTCTGCCTCACAGTTCGAAGACCTCTGCTTTACACCAATACTTCTCGTGAATAGAAGTGTACCTGATAAATATCATATTAGCAGATACACACGAAACCAAATACATTGACTGCACAAAAGTGATCTGCTGAATAGACCACTGCATCATTTTCCCACCTTTCTTTTTGGAGGTGCTTGCTTGGAATTCCTTCTCCTCCACTTTGACAGAAATCTTGTTGTACTTCATGCGGCAGAAGAATGAGCGGCGTGCACCTGAATACAGCCGCACTGCACCGACTGGGAGGTCAGCCTGGACCTGCAGACCCGCTGGAGACACGACAGGAGAGTTACATTCTCTCTCTCTCTCTCTCTCTCTCTCTCTCTCTCTCTCTCTCTCTCACACAGAAGAAATAATTGCTTTACTTTTAGCATCGATCAGGCGTTCCCGAGGGTATAATTCAGAAGCTGACAGCTGCTCCTTCACTTTTTCCATGTCCTTTGGGTGTATGTAATCAAACAGGCTCTGTCCAATCAGCTCCACCTGTAGGAAGAACAAACAGCCATAAACATTGTGCCCATGCTCATGAAAAGAAATGTCAAAACCAGTCTGCATATAAGGTATTTCCCGCTGACAAATAAAAAATTTAACAAAATATTTGATTGAGGACTGTTGACCCCGGAGTACACCAGATACTGTGTGTAGCGGATTTAGATTTTAGTAAGATTGAGGGAGAAAATACAACAGCTCACTCAAAGCTTTCCTGAAGGACGGCATATGAATGTCCTTAAGTAATCAAAAATATGGTGTATACACTGTGCTCTCGTGCCCAACGTCTTTGTTTTTCATCATCAAAGGAGCCGGGTGTGTCTGCTGAGGGTTACTTTCACACAATGCTAAATGAGGTGCTACAGGCCCATGCACGTGTAGGTGGTATTAGTTTATGATTATAACCCTGGTGGGTTCTAGTCCTTTAACAGTGGTGCCACGACAACACAACCCATCTGGTGTGTCCGGGGTTTCACATAAACAAAGATGTTGCTGATACAGTAACAAATGTAAAAGCATTACCCGACTATAATTTAACATCTTCGTGACGGACTCTGAGACAAAAACTATTTTCCCACGATCACAGCCCACTACAAACAGGAACCCATCTGCAGCCTGCACAACAGAAAACATGAGAGAAAATAAGGGGATCCAATGTGATGACATGGTCAAGACAAACGTAAGAGGCCATCGAGT